CTGGGGTCGGTATACTGATGCTGAGCCCGCCTCAGCTCCAGTGCTTAATTCATAAGCAAACCAGTGAGCCACGTGAACGTCTGGAAAATGGGTTGAATTGGATACCTTGGATGGTCCACGAGTCAAAAAATGGTGAGACTGCAACTTTATGGAATTGGCTGTACGGGGACTGAAAGCCCCTTGAGGTCTCTGACAATGACACCAGTGCGCCTTACCGTCGGTGCGCTCCTAGACTTATCGTTAGCCATCTCACGCACCACTGAGAAGGGCGCGCTGGTCCAAGTGACTCTGCCCACTCTAACGAACTTCTTTTAAGTTATATCGCAAGTGCTGACGAAGGATCAAATAGCTGTCGTTTATATGCTAGTACATCTAGGGAAAGACCAGACACAAGTGGATCGATTCATTTGAGAACTTATTTTATTAGCAACTTTTATAAGCTTTATTTCGACATGTATATTGTGCAGTGTCAATCAAATGAGAGGATTTTCTACGGCGTTCCTCGTACAAGTGGAGACCAAGAGATTTTGAGTGAACAAGCATGAAAAGACAATTAGACAAAATGCGCGATGCGACACAATCTCAACAATAAAAATCTAATAATACATTCTTCATATTCTTCTATATATTGTGGAATAAAATCGCATACCGTTCGACTAGATGACCGGAAAGTCTTTTGTGAACAGAGCAGTTCTCAACGAAATACATAGAGATATATAATGCGAATTACACAGGTTTCTTAAGCAGTCGTGGACTGGTTGACCGCCAGCTTTTGCGATTTCCTCAGCGACTTTCGGCCCAACGACCTGAAATCCAACGGCGAATTCGGCACACTGCCAAATCCCGACGAGTCAGCTGAGCCGCTTGCTGACTGAAAGTATATTTCTCTGAAGGCGTTCCTAACATGGTGTGTGGGATTTGATTAGGTCGCGCGAGAAGATATCGCATTGTTATATGGCCTCAAGCAGACTCGCAAGAAAAAGACCTGGGCGTTTTAATATCGCCGCGTTCAAGCGGAGATCGAGAAAGCCATACTGCGCGCCGCGCGACGCTACGTCCGAAGCCCCGCGAACACCGAACCCTTCCTTTCCTTTCGACTGTCTTATTTTTTAAATCTTTTTCAGCATGATTGTTGAATTGGTTGGCCCCATGGGCCTAGTCATAAAAACTGATTAAGTACAGTTGAGTAGAACGATGCATGTGTTAGTCGTCATCATCGCGTCCCGTACTATGCCTTTTGCGACTCACACGTCAACAGAAGGATATTCAGACAATAAGGAGTTTTTTTTTATTACAATATGCCCAGATTTGATCAAAATCACCATCTTCACAGCGGTACCTTGCAAGTATCGATCGTAGCGGTCGCGTTGCGGCGCGCGGCGCGAAGCTTGCGCATGGAACGACTCGCTCATTACCGAGTATGAACGCTGCGTAACAAGGCTGCCGCGATTTTTCTCGTATCACGTCGCGCACGATAAGTGGAAAACCTTTTGGGTGCCAGTGCTTTCAGTTTATTGCGGCTCAGCTCTAGTGGTACATCAGCGAAAATTGTAGCAACTGCGACCAAGCATAGCTTATCACTTTCTGGAAACACTGGCGAGCACAAACCTGAAGTACAGCCCTGATGGTATCGTGCCCATACATAGTGGCCACGTCCAATGCCGTTCGACCTGCGAGATCTTTCAACGACGGTTTCAGCGCCCATTCGCAGTAGCAGCACTACCAGTTCTCGATTTCCCTGCTGTGCAGCTACCGACAAGGCTGAAGCTCCCTAAAACTCACACAATGTACTCCTCATTCTTACCTTCTATCACTATTTCAAACATGTTGGGAAATCTCTTTGAAAACGCACCTGCTCATCGACGGCGTTCGGATTAACGCCGACAGTTTCGAGAAGATAGGCGGCCATTTCCAGATGGCAATTCCAGACGGCCGTCAGTAACGGGGTACGACCACCAGAATCCACTGCTTCGAACGATGCCGCGAGTCGACGAAGCATTCGAGCACCACACATGTCGTTTATGGCGCATACCTAGTATGGAAATTGTAAATAATGGGAAATAATTCAAAAAGTTGATTGAGACCGGAGAAGCCTTTGCTCCGTATAGGCCTCGTATAGCTTACAACTGCTACTAATGAATAATTTTCTTCTTACTTCCTATCACAGAATTAGGCCGATGTCAGACTTTGCGAATCGCGCGATTCGCTAGCGTCTGCGGTCGCGTCGCGGCCAGTGAATCACTCAATTGGCTGGTACCGCAACGCGACCGCGGACGCTAGCGAATCGCGCGATTCGCAAAGTCTGACATCGGCCTCAAGGGCACTCGCTAACGAAGATATATCTGAAGAAACTCACCACGTGAGCACATGTCCGTCCATGCGCGTCTCTGGCTGAGATGAACGCTCCAAGGGTCAGCAGTAGTTCTGCCATAGCCGTCTGAAAATAGCTTTTCATTTGCTTGCTGACGTAATTGAAAACCGTTAACTGATTCCGGATCCTAGAATTACTCTATTTGTTCGATCCGATTCAAATTCTAAATTTACAAGACGTTTCGAAGAATTGAAGAAGGATATAGAGTGCCCAGGCGCTACCGCAATGTACGAGTTTATAGTGGTTGCAGCGCATTAGAAATCGCGTAAAACATTTCCTTGTTGATAAATTGGGACTAATCGGCGGAAGGTTAGGGGCACCGGGGTGCATAAGCAATTTTCATTTTCCCCAAAGCTCCTGCCTTCTTCTAGGCTTAGTCTTAAAGGATGCCCCTGTATGCTGCGACAGCGCTGAGCACTCATATGCCTTCCCCCAACCACTACCACTCCATGACATTGGACAGATATCTTATCGAAATTTTGTCATCGTTAATAGTCAAAACTTAAAGGCTTATCCTACGATCACTAGGTGTGACAGCTGGTACTAAAAGCCATAGACCAAAAGTGAATCGTCAGTGAAATTAAGGGAACAAAACCATCACAAACACTGTAATGTGAACCTCCTCTCCCAGGAGAGTGAACATAGTAAGAATGGTAATACTGGATGTCGACGTGACATAACAAGCTATGTGGAGAGCACAGTTAACTAGCAGGACTCAGATAACTCGCCGGCAGATCCCTGTTGCAAGCAACAGACAGCACCCGGAAGACCAGTGGCCGTACACTTTCATCCCTTGAGAAGGGAATGGAACTTTCGTCTCATCGCTCGGACCCTGTAGACTCTGTCTCCTGTTTCTGGGTCGCAGAAATGGTAAACATTACTCTTTCGGGTAGCTCTACTCGACCACAGAAGGGATTGTTCAACCTAGCTGGATTACAAGCTAGCCTCTAACTTAGGTAACGAGATAGTGGTTGTCCATTAAAAACTGAATGTCGATCACAAAATTTCGAAAAAATGTACCTGCTTGTTAATTAGTAGTGTATGTACAAGTGGAGTTCCATCCATATCCTGCTGTTCCCAGTCAGTAATATGTTCAGCCAGCAGCTGAAATTACAGAGAGCATAGAAATTACGCTGAAAGGAAAGCTTTGAAAAAAAAATGCCAACACTGGAGAAGATTTATTAGATAAGCTGAATACCATGAAGAATGAAGACTAAACTTTTGAACAAAAAACTCGGTGATACCACAAGATACAGGAACATTTCAAGAGAGAAGCGATAGGATCTCGAGGAGAACGGACCTTGCTCACACTCGTTGGAGCTCTACTACCCCGTCTCATGCTCCGTCCCAAGTGCTTTGCCGCCAGGCACTGCTCCCGTATCTTGTGATAGCGCTCACAACGACACCAATACCAAGTTCTAGTCGGATGTTACTAATGTGTACAATTAAAAATTCAAAAGTCAGATACTGCAAAAATGTAGCAGAAAGCCGACTTACTCGAACAATCTTTGTGTTGCCGGACAGCGCGGCTACCCGTAATGCGCTCTGACCGTTCAACGATAGCTGTTCCACGTCGGCACCCAGGTTTATCAGCTCCTGGACTACCTGAAAATTGAGCGGATAACCACACACAGTTAGATAAAGGATAAACCCTTGAGAAAGCTCATTTGAATTCATAAATTCACCTCTTCGTTGTCGCCTTGACAAGCGTTGATTAGCGGATGATTCCCGGCTCGATCTGTGGCACGCACCGTAACCGAAGTGGCTAAAGCCTTGCAGAGGGTGACGTCGCCGTGAGCTACCGCGTAATGTAGCGCGACGGCGCCATCGTTGTCCTGGAATAAAGCATGTCAACCCATTGCGGACCGGCACGCCACCACGCGGAGAAGGATAGTAATCTTCGATTTTTTCAGCATTTTGCTAAGTTACAAAATCAAAGTTTACTTTTTCAGACACAGGATATATCAATATTTGCGTACTGGTTAAATTTTCGATAGATTATTGGCCACTGATAAAAGAGATGACAAAAACCTACGGAGGTGCAATTATAACGGCGGTCCGCAATGGGTTAAAAAGTTGAGGCTTAGCTAAGCAACCCAATCAGAAGTCATGTGAATGATTCCCTCGTCTCTACGGATAGACCCCCATAGGAGGATCGCAGATGAACAGATGAGGAACTCCCTTGCATGAAAATCGCCTGAGAAGGGCGCTAGGGTGCTGCAAAGTTGCTGCGATTACTTGAAGTCATTTCTTCACAATCCCTATCGATTTTATAATTTTTTACTGACCTAAATAAAAACCCCGAGCAAAAAATGGGCATTTCCGAGGAAGGACAGTATTCAATACCAATTCAGAACCGCTCATAAAAACCGACAGGAGGCAAATGCATGGCGGAAGCTATCGATACTATCGATAGTACAATTGCTCAAAGATCGACGTATGCTTACCTTATGAGCTTCGTCAGCTCCGAGTGCCAGAAGAATATCCACAACAGGAAGATGTCCATGGATGGCCGCCAACTGGAATGCCGTCCGACCATCCGAATCAATACAATCGATATAGGCTCCTGAGCGAACGAATTTATTTCAAGGATATTTTCAGAGGGTGAAAGGGTAAAGGTCTGAGGTTGAGGAGTGTGGGGGGCGGGGGAGGATCGAAATGAACTTCCATAATAAAGATGGGAACCCAAGAAGAACACAATAAAGACAATCAGAATTCAAGTACGGGTGAGGTACAGGGTTTCCGAAAAATAAGCTCATTACTATTCAAATTTTTGGACATGTTCTTTCACCTTGATCTGCACCTACAAAGAACTCACCATTTTTGGTGAGTAAATCCACGGCATCCAACTGTCCTTGACTTGCAGCAAGCATTAGCGGAGTTCGACCGAGCGAATCCTGAACAAAAGATTATTGTTCTGTACATAGGTTACGGTAGGGGCAAAGTCGTTCACCTGCACATCAATACACGTAGCACCTAACAACGACTTCAGATTCCGATCACCATGATAGGCGGCCAGGTGGATGCAAACTCTTCCGTGGGCATCCGCCAATGTCAGGTCACTTCCTCCTTAAACCATGCCCATA